AAGGTTGGAGACCCCTGCTTTAGCACAAAACATATGAGGGGTGGGGCACATCTTGGTTGTACTTTTGTATGGGGGGGGGGGGAAATCAACCTTTTTCTGGCTGCATGCAGAAATGAGCTTTCTTCAAGCAGGCTTCTTGGGGGAACAGGATGTGAGATAAAAATAGGGAGACAGGAATAGAAATAAAGGAATCTTTTATTGATACTCACCCTGGTATTTCTCCTCTGTTCATTACGTGGCTGGGCCCGGCCTGGCTAGGAACATTCCGCTCTCCGCCTAACAAGCCGAAATAAGAGCAAGGAATAGGAGTTTACTGTAGCGAATGCATCCGCCCATCGTTATTGAGGAACACAACTTGCAAGGGTTTTTAAAAGCTGTGACACGTGCGGAGGGTTTTTCTGTGGACCCCAAAACCCATGGGGCTCCACCAGTTATGCCTGACCCAAAGACCCAGCTTGGCCTCTTGAGAACACAAAGAGGCTGCTATGGGGTCCTTCAGGGACTCTGAGGTTGGGGTTTTCCTGGGAGACACTTCATGACTCAGTGCTAGAAGAGAGTGGGGTTTGTGGAGAGGAGGAGGAGGAGGAGGAGGAGGAGGATGAAGACTGTGGGGTCCTTGGTGTTCTCTGAGCTTGGTTGTTTTTTTTTGCAGACCTTTCATGATCCAACTAGGTAACATCATCAGTGCTACTAGAGAATGGGATTGGTGGAGAGGAAGAGGGGAGGAGGAGGAGGTGGGGAAGGGAGGAATGTGAGGTTGGACTGTTGGTTGCTGTCTGAGCTTGGTTGTTTTCTTGCAGCCATTAGCCAACTAGAAGGGAGAGGGGTTTGCTCTCAGTTTATACACAAGTGACTTGCCCTGTCAGTGTTGGTGGGAGCATTCTTGGCGGTTCCTTGATTAGACGGTTATAGACCAAACCCCATGTTCTCATTTAGCGCTGCTGATGTTACCAAGGGTGCAGCCAAACCACACAAGCTTGGCGTGCACAACCCTGAGCTGCAGATGTTCTCTTCTATCAGTACAGGAGCTGCCTTTTCAAGAATAGGCCAGATCCTTTCGTCTCAGGCAGGGAAAGGGGCCACCGCCGAATCAAACCTTGTCCAAGTCCGTCTAGGAAGAAAGCCGGGGTTTTACCTTGCCATCGATCATGGTCCATCTCTCTGTCTGCACTCCCTGTCCAGGAGCGATCTTGATGCCCCTCCAGCTTCCGGCTGTGATCTCCCCAGTGTCTCCCTTCTCTGAGGGCAGGGAGGGAGAGGGGGGGGAAGAGAAAAAAAAAACCTAGCTGTTTTTTCAAATCTCTCGGTGTTTTCAAAAATGTTTTTACTGCTTTAATTGTAGCATGTTTTTTGATGTGTAAGTCGCCCCCGAGTCATTTTGAGGTGAGCAGATATAGAAAATGGGGGGGGGGGGGAGAAAGGGGGGGGGGGGGGGGGGGGAGGGAAGGGGGGGGAGGGGGGGGGGGGGGGGGGGGGGGATGGGGAGAGGGAGATGATAGGGAGGGAGGGTGGGAGAGATGATAGGTAAAGAGAGAGGGAGGGAGAGAGAGAAGGAAGGAGAGAGAGGGGGAGGAAGGGAGAGAGGGAGGGAGATAGAGATTTGTTTCCCCATCAATATAACCAACAACGCCAGATGTGGGTCTGGGCAACTTCACCGCATGTAACCTAACTTCACACAGTGCACTAAGCTACAATTTCATTTCATAGGTTCGAGTTTATGGCAAATACCTGTTTAAATTATCATTACTGTCAGAGGTTTACATTATGGATCAACATACATAACATGCATAGATACATAAAAAAAATCTAGGAAAATGTGATTCAAGTCTTGCTTTTAAAAAACAAAAAACAAATATTGCCCCCTAGTGGAACATCTCCATCGGTACAGTAGGGGCCCTTTTAAAAGAGATTGGGATTTATTTACAGGCGGTCCTCGATTTACAACGCTGACCAGCCGTGTTATTAATGTTAACCAGGGCCCTGATTGACTTAACACCTGTGTTAAGGTCATAAAATACCGACTTAATAACCGTCTTGCTTAGGAATGGAAATCTGAGGCTCCTCTGGGGTCGTAAGTCGAGGACTCCCGAGGACTCCCCTCTAATGGAGAGGGTTACAGGGGAGGGTGCAGATCCTTCAGCACCAACCATGCTGAGGATTAGAAGTTTGAAAGAACTTTATTGTCATTGTACAAGCACAACGAAACGGTGGATGCCCCCCAGCAACTGTTCGCAATACAATAAAACCACAGCACTTAAAAACGAAGACAAGAAAGACAGAGTAGCCACGTCTCCATTTGCAATTTGAGAGCGCAATATCTACGAATATACACCAAATATACATCCAACACTGACTGTAACGCTTAGCCGAGTAGAATACACAAGAGATGGGTTGTCCTGTAATATGTTATTATACATCTGAATGGGGCATTGAGATTTCACATCTTTCCACATCTTAACGAGGTAGTGACTTTGGGTTTATTTGCGGTTCGGAGGGCCCAGGGAAAGAAACTATTGGTCAGTCTAGTGGTGTGGGATTTTATTGACCTAAAACGCCGCCCAGACGGCAGCAGGTCAAAAAGATCATTGCCAGGGTGTGAGGGGTCTTCTATGATGGCCTTGATTCTGCTTTGGCAGCGGGACCTGGCTAAGTCTTCCAGGGAGGGCAGAGGGCAACCAGTGATCTTTTGAGTTGTGTTTATCACCCTCTGCACAGTTTTCCTGTCCTCAGCTGTGGAGCCTGCGTACCACACACCCAGACAATATGTCAAGAGTGCTCTCCACAGAGGCTTTACAGAAAGCCAGCAACAGCTTCTTATCCAGATTGTTCTTCCTGAGAACCCGCGGGAAGTGCAGCCGCTGCTGAGCCTTCTTCACTATGGCCTTGGGGTTAGGGGACCAGGAGATACCAGCTGAAATATAGACGCCAAGGAATCTGATCGTAGGGAAGGTTTCCACTCGTTCTCCGTTGATGATGAGTGGGGCATGGTCCTGTCCATGTTTCCTGAAGTCCATAATCAGTTCTTTGGTTTTATGGACATTCAGTGACAGATGGTTCTGTGAACACCAGATATAGACAGGTTCTCTAACTTCTGACCGTCTTCCTTCCTGGAGGCTAAAATATACTTTTAAAAAACGTTTGCTGGAACTGGGTTTGATGAAGAGAAGGACCAGGGAGGACATGATAGCAGCCTTCCAATATTTGAGGGGCTGCCCCAAAGAAGAGGGAGACAAACTATTCTCCAAAGCACCAGATGGCAGGACAAGAAGCAATAAGGATGGAAAACTAATCAGGAAGAGAAGCAACCTAGAACTAAGGAGGAATTTCCTGACAGTGAGAACAATTAACCAGTGGAACAGCTTGCCTCCAGAAGTTGTGAGTGCTCCAACATTGGAAGTTTTTAAGAAGAGATTGGACAACTATTTGTCTGGAATAGCATAGGGTCTCCTGCTTGGACTAGGAGACCTCCAAGGTCCCTTCCAACTCTGTTGTTCTATTATTCTGTTAAGAAGCAAAGGATGGAAACTAATCAAGAACAGAAGCAACCTGGAACTAAGGAGAAATTTCCTGACAAGAGGAATTATTACTCCGTGGAACAATTTGCCTCCAGAAGTTTTAAATGCTCCAACACTGGGAGTTTTTAAGAAGGGATTGTATAACCATTTGTCTGAAGTGGTATAGGGTCTCCTGCCTGAGCAGGGGGCTGGACTAGAAGACCTCCAGGGTCCCTTCCAACTCTGTTCTTCTATTCTATGCTGCCCTGATTCCTAATATTTGAATTCACAAGGAATTGATCTTCTGGCTGGCTACACCAGCTCTGGAATAGTCAAGTCAACGGTTATCTCTCCTCAATGGTTCAGTCTCCATCCCCAGCACACCGTATCCAGGCAGCCAAAGCCCAGGTTGGCATAAACAGGTAGTCCTCCACTTACAATGGTTCGTTTAGTGACCGTCTGAAGTCACAACGGCACCGAAAAAAAGTGACGCATTGCTTTTTTTTTCACACTTAACGATGGGACGCAGCATCCCCCATGGTCACATGATCAAAATTCAGACGCTAGGCATCTGACTCGTAGTTATGACAATTGCGTGAGCCCCTTTGGCAACCTTCTGATGAGCGAAGTCAAGGGGCGGGGAGACAGATTCACTTAACGACCGCGTCACTAACATAATAACCGCAGGGATTCACTTAATAAATGGTGGCAAGAAAGGTCATAAAGTCATTTCATAAAATGTCATATGCGACATAGCCAACAGGACTCCTGAACTCCATTGTGTGGTCGTAAATCGAGGATTTCCTGTATGCGTGTACCCCTTTCTTTTTCTTTCTTTCTCCAGAAAACATGGATGAAAGGCACCTCCTTCCTCTTTAAATCAACTCACCGGGATTGAGGAGGTAAACCTCGGCCTCTGGTCAGCCTCCGCTCTGACCCGTAACCCGCCCAGCCATCCCGGGAATGGCGATCGTGGGGGGCGTGCCTCTCGTCGGGATAGTGCTGAAAGAGAGAGGCCACAACATCAGGTTACCAAGCTTCTCAACGCTAAATGTTCCCGTCTTAAAAGGACAGCTCTGTTTTAAGGTGTAAGGGGGCAGCAGGGGTTAGAAGGCAGCATTGCAGGCAGACTCTGCCCACAGCCCGGAGTTCGGTCCTGATGGGGCTCAAGGTTGACTCAGCCTTCCGTCCTTCCAAGGTGGGTAAAATGAGGACCCAGATTGTTGGGGGCAAGAGGCTGATTCTGTAAACTGTTTATAGAGAGGGCTGTAAAAGTACTGTTAAGTAGTATATAAAGTCTAGGTTCTATTGCTAATGTATTATGATTATGATTAATATTATTAGCTTCTTCCACCACTAGGGACACTTTGGCCTTTTCTTTCCACATCATCCCCAGTTCCTCCTTCAGGCCCCAATACTTCACCAGTTTCCCCTATTCCTTCTTCCAGAGGTTGCTCTCACTTGGCATGGCTGCATCTGGCACTAGTGATAGTGATGTAGTTGGTATCGATCTGTCTGCCTATCTTATCTTTATCTTATCTCTCCTCCCTCTTACCTATCTCTATCTTTCTATCTATCCATCCATCTCTCTCTCATTTCTCTTATCTCTCTCTCCTCTCTTTCTGTCTATATTTATGTCTACTTATCTATCTAATCTATCTCCTATCTCTCTATCCATCCATCTCTCATTTCTCTTCTCTTCTCTCTCTTCTTTATTTCTATATCTATCTCTTATCCCTCTTCTCTTATCTAACTATAGATAGATAGATGATGATGATGATGGCAGATGAGATTCTGCCGAAACGTTGCTACAACTTTAAAAGCACAACTATAATGACGTGGGAAAATACCCGAACAAAGCTGAATACTCTCTCTCTATATATATATATATTCTTAAGTTTTTGCGGGTACTTACATGTATGGTATTCAGCTTTGTTCGGGTATTTTCCCACGTCATTGTAGTTGAGCTTTTAAAGCTGTAGCAACGTTTCGGCAGAATCTCATCTGCCATCATCAGGCTTCTGTATTGTGTTCGTCTGTAAGTCAGACTTTTACAGTTGTTTCAGTTTTAAATTTGGGGCTAGCCTACTGCTGTGCCAGAATGGTTTTTTCTTCATCCTGATTGGTTGGGAGTCTGGGTCTGTGTTTATTGGTCTTGGAGTTTGCTGTGTTCTGCTTGATTGGTGTTTCTAATATCTTCTGTCTGTTTTGTGGCTTTTTTTGTGTCTTGATTGGCTGGCAACATTGTGTTTCTGTATTGGAGGCTTTTAGTGTAGCTTGGCTCCGAGTAAGTGGACGGCTATCATTTGTTAGGAAGCTAGGTTTCATCTGGGTGCCTGGTTGGGGTGTGTTTGAGCTGGAGGTATCAGGGGGGATCTGTTTGTGCCCAGGTGTTTGCCTGGCTAGTGGTGTGGAGATTTTTTTGTTTGTGAGTGCTAGTGAGGAAGTGTGTTCCAGCTTTTTTACTGCACTTTTGTGTTCATCCAGGCGGGTACTTGTTCTTCTATTATAAATTATAAATAGAATTATAAATAGAAGAATAAGTACCCGCCTGGATGAACAGAAAAATACAGTAAAAAAGCTGGAACATACTTCCTCACTAGTCCAACACATGAAAGCCACAGATCATAGCATCAACTTCAATGGTACCAAAACCCTAGCCACTATAGAAAACCCCAGCCACAGAATTATCAGAGAAGCCATAGAGATTGAAAAAAAGGCCTGAAAGCATGAATAGAAGAGATGATTCCACCAGACTGTCAATCATTTGGAAGCCTGCACTCACAAACAAAAAAATCTCCACACCACTACCCAGGCAAACACCTGGGCACAAACAGATTCCCCCTGATACCTCACGGGTCGCGGGTATTTGTATGTGGATCTTTGGTTATTTGGGTTTTCTCCTGTGTAAAATGGTGTGTCCTAGGGAGCCATTGGGTTTTTTGTATACTAAGACATCTAGGAAGGGAAGTTGATTGTTAGCTTCTGGTGAATTGTATTTTGGGGTGTAGGCTGTTGAGGTGTGTGATATATATTTGTTTTCTGAAGTTTTCGCGGGTATTTGTATGTGGATCTTTGGTTATTCGGGTTTTCTCCCGCGTAAAATTGGAAGTATCTAGGTGACGTTTCGACGAAGTCTGATTCATCATCTTCAGGCTTGTGTCTTCAGCTTTGTGCTTCTTGGAGTGAGGATGATGAAGCCTGAAGATGATGAATGAGACTTCATCGAAACGTCGCCTAGATACTTCCAATTTTACGCGGGAGAAAACCCGAATAACCAAAGATAGATAGATAGATAGATAGATAGTTAGTTAGATAAAATCTATTTATCTATCTCCATCTTTCTATCTGTACATCTATCTTTATCTATCTATCTTTCTATCTATCATATCTATATCTATATCCATATCTATCCATATCCATATCCATCCATCTGAGTGTGTGCATGATTTACAATCATTAGTTTAGTAGAAGAACCAGGGTGGCGCAGTGGTGAGAATGCAGTATTGCAGGCTGTCTCTGTCCACTGCCAGAAGTTTGATGCTGACCATCCCAAGGTTGACTCAGCCTTCCATCCTTCCAAGGTTGGTAAAGTGAGGACCCAGATTGTTAGGGGGCCATATGCAAATAATGCTTCTTCATTGTGAACCACCCAGAGAGTGCAGTAAAGTCCCATGGGGCGGGTGTATATCAACTTAAATGCTTTTGCTAAATGCTAGCTATGTCTTTGGGGAACTTGTCAGTGGGCCATGAAGCTGAGCGCAGAAGCCAACTCCTCTACCAAAAACATTTAAAAAAAAAAAACCTTCTGTAGTTACTGAGTTCGGAATAAATTGCGATCCTGTCACCTTTACATCTGTAGCAAATCCACTTTGAGTTTAATCGCCACAGAAAGCCAATGTCTGTATTAAACAAAACCTAACTTTGGATGAGGAAGCATCTAATTTCATGGTCCAATTTTTAATGGCTAATTTGCATTCTCATGTCGGCGATGGGAGAGTGTGTGAAAAAGACCATGCAGGAGAGCAGCCCGCATAAACTCAGAAGCAGGCGTCTAAAGACTAAATAGAGGTAGTCCTCGACTTACAAACACAATGGAGCCCAATGTTTCCATAGCTAAGTAAGATACTTAATTGAATTTTGCCGCATTTTATGATCTTTCTTGCCACAATTGTTAAGCAAATTGCCGCAGTTGTTAAGTTAGTCACACGGTTGTTAACTGAATCTGGCTTCCCTGTTAAGCTTGCTGGTCAGAAGTTTGCAAAAAGGGGATCATATGACTCTTGGACACTGCAACCATCATAAATATATATAAGTGGTTGCCAAGCATCCGAATTTTAATCACATGACCACGGGGATGGCTGCAATGGTCGTAAGTGTGAAGAACGGTCGTAAGTCTCTTTTTTTCTGTGCGGTTGTAACTTCAAACGGTCACTAAATGAACTGTTGTAAGTCGAGGGCTGCCTGTAAAACTAGCTTGTTCAAAAAAGGTAAACTTGGGAATGATGGGTGTGGCCTCTACTTTCCCTTCCTTTGATGGATGATGGACAACAGTTCGAGCGAGCTCCTGTAGTCCACATCTTTGGGCTTCAGATGTGTCCCTTAGAACAGGGGTCCCCAACCACCGGTCCGCGGACCGGTACTGGTCCGTGGAACAAGTCCTACCGGGCCGCTGGTTTGCTGGGCGCCGCCATCTTTTTTTGATGAAAAAGTGCTTTCGGTGAGCTTTTCCGGGTAGAAAGCTCACCGGAAGCACTTTTTCATCAAAACAAGATGGCGGCGCCCAGCTAATGCCGGTACCGGGCCGCGCCATAAAAAAGGTTGGGGATACTGGGCCGCGGCATAAGAAAGGTTGGGGATCACTGCCTTAGAAAGTGCGAATCCTAAACTCTCATAAACAACTGGGCAGTTTTTCAGCAACACAAAATTAAAAGTTAACAATTCACACCACCGATAAAGCCAAACATACCTGTCCATCTCGGTCTGGCACCATTCTTGAACTTTCTCTCCTAGAAGGAGAAAAGGAAATTATCCACCATGCAGGAATATGAATCAGAAATTAAAATAATTATGAAGTTTAGGCCGGAGGCCTCCAACCTTGGCAACTTTTAAGGCTTGTGGACTTGAACTCTCAGAATTCTGGGAGTTGAAGTCCACAAGTCTTAAAGTTGCTAAGGTTGGAGACCCCTGGTTTTGGACGATTCCAGCTGCCTTGACCCCATGCAGAAAAAAATATAAATAGGTATCTTTATAAAGGTGCAGATGCCCTTTATTTTCTACCTTGTCGGTGAATGATGGTTAACACCAATTGGAACCACTCCTAGTGATTTTCACCTCCCCAATACATGCGCCAGGATTACCGTGATGAGATGAGGGTTTAATAAATGTATGGCTATGTTGATGCTCTTGGATGTCTCAGTCATTTTCAATTCTCTTCAGGCTTCAGGGTTGAGCCTCCAGGCTAGCAAACTTGTTCCTGGTTTGTTTTGTGTTTTGAGAGCTTTGAGGTAGAAGCTACCTACCTGTCCCCAAAGTGGTCATGGTATCGGCTACGATCTCTGTGGTCGAAGCTGTGAAAGCGATCCTGACGGCTGAAGTCCGAATGGTATCGGTCATCCATGGCCATCCGCTTTGGTTCCGGCCAGTAGCCGTCATCCCGCCTGCAAAGAGTCCAGATTCAAAAAGTTATCAGCGCTCCGGTTACCGTTTCGGCCATTTATTTATATATAGATTTATATGCTTATTAGAAGCTTAGCGTTGTCTTTATTAGCCCTTTTAAGTAACTCAATACAGCAAGCGTACGTAATACTCCTTCCTTTCTCTCCACAACACTCCTGGTGAAGTGGGTTGGGCCGAGAGAGAGGGACTGGCTCAAAGTCATCCAATCAGCTTTCATACAGAGCAACAGAGTTGGAAGGGACCTTGGAGGTCTTCTAGTCCAACCCCCTGCTCAAGCCATTCCAGACCAAAGGCTGTCCAGTCTCTCCTTAAAACCTTCCAGGGATGGAGCACCCCACAAATTCTGGAGATAGCTCAATTCCACTGATTAATTGTCCTGATTTTCAGGAAATTTCTCCTTATTTGCTTCTCTCCTTCATTAGTTTCCAACCATTCCTTCTTCTCCTGACTTTGGAGGTGCTTTGGAGAATAGCTTGACTCCCTCTCCTTTGGGGCAGCCCCTCAGATACTGGAAGACTTCTATCATGTCACTCCTAGTTTCTTCTTTTCAGATTAGTAGACATACCTAATTCCTGCAACCGTTCTTCCTATGTTTTAGCCTTCGCTCCCCTAATCGTCTCTGTTACTCTTCTCGCCTTTTTCAGAGTCTCAACATCTTGTTTGTATCATGGTGACCAGAACTGGATGCAATATTCTATGTGTGGTTTTCCCAGAGGGGGGGGTTAAATTTTTTAGCAAAAGGTTCTCTGCCCGGTTGCTGGGTGGGCGTGGCCATGGTGGGCGTGGCCTAGTTGGCCTCCTGCACCACAGTGGGGGGGGGGGAGGCTCTGGGGGCACTCGTCGAGCCTCCAGGAGAGCGAAAACAGCCTCCCCGGGTTCCGGAGGCTCTCTGGAAGCTGGAAACGGGCCCATTTCCGGCCTTCCCGAACTTCCAGGAGCCCCATTTTTCGCCGTCCCTGAGCCTCCCCGCGTGCCCTGCATTTACCTGCATCCAAAACAGGCCGTGCGGGGACTCCTGGGAGGGGAGGGGAGGGTGGGGAGGGGAGGGGAGGGTGGGGAGGGCCAGCCAGAAGCGGGATTTGGGGGCTTCTCCGAACTGCACAGAATCTTAGCTAGGGACTCTCCTGAACCCCTGCGAACCCCCAGCAGCCCCACCCCTGGTCCTACCAAGGCATTATAAAGCAGTACTAAACCCTTCAACTGTTCTTGATTCTACCCCTCTGTTAATGGACTAGTTTAATAAGGTTCAGGCCAACAGATGCAGGATTTGACCAGAAAGAGCAGGGAACAATACGTCCACAAGGCAGAAAGCTTACAGAAATACACCAGGCAGGTACAGAAGCTCTGACGTTGACTCAAATGGAAAGCCCAGCCGGGCACCATGTTGGCGCTCCGACCTTACAAGCGGACTCTCTCTCTCTCTCACCTTCCGTCGTGGTAAGGTCTCCGCAAGGCCGAACGGCGGTCCTGCTCGTAGCGCAGCTGCTCCTGCTGCCGCCGTAACTCCTCCCGCTCCCAGTGGATGCGGTCCTGCTCCCTCCGCCGCTCCTGCTCGATGCGCATCCGCTCCCGCTCCAGCCGTTCCCGCTCCATCCGCTCCCGCTCCAGCCGTTGCCTCTGAAAGTGCAGCCGGTCCCGCTCCTTTTGGAGCCGCTGCCTTTCGTCCGACTCGTGGTTCTCCTGCGAGTGCTGGTCCCGCTCCTTCCGCTCCCGTTCCCTTGGGATCCCAAACGGAAAGGGAGAGGCGGTTTGCATGGGGAAGACGGCAAGGCTGAGGGTTAGCATTTTCTAAATGGTTGGCTTTCGGATATCTGGGCGGGGAACAATGGGAACTGGTCCCTCCTCTCTGGAAGATACCATCCCTTCTGCAGTTGGTGTATACAGGTGCAGAATACAGGTAGTCCTCAACTTACAACGGTTTGCTTAGTAACCATTAAAAGTTACAATGGCACTGAAAAAAAGTGGCTTTATGATCATTTTTAGTTTAGTTTAGTTTACTTTATTGTCATTGCACCTCATACAATGAAATCAACCATCTTCAGTGAACATTATGAGCATGGAAATAAACACACACATCCTTCACCCTCCACACATTGAATTGAAATCCCCTGATATTGCATTAATATTGCACTATACAGTAGAATTCAGTGGAGTTACTGACCTGGGATGGAAGCTGTTTTTCAGCCTATTTGTCCTTGTTTTTATTATCCTGTACCATCTGCCAGATGGTCATAGTTCAAAAAAAAAAGGGGTGCCCAGGATGAGATGGATCTTTGAGAATGTTTTGAACTTTCTTAAGGCAGCAGGAGCTACAAAGCTCTTCCAAAGAGGGGAGAAGGCAACCCATGATCCTCTGGGCAATGACCTTAACCCTCTGGAGTGCTTTCCTATCTGCCCCTGTGCAATTGGCAAACCATACAGAGGTGCAGTAAGTTAAGATGCTCTCTATGGTGCAGCAGTAGAAAGTCACCAGCAGTTTTCCATTCAGTTGTTTGTTTCCTGAGAAGTCTCAAGTAAAATAATCTCTGCTGGGCCCTTTTGACCAGGGCTGCAATGTTAGCACCCAGGTCAGGTCCTCTTTTATGGTAACACTTAGAAACTTAAAACTGGCTACTTGCTCCACTGATAAGCAAGGGCTGGATTTCACACTGATGATTGTTGCAGCATCCCCATGGTCACGTAATCAAAATTGGGACGCTGGGCAACTGACTCACATTTATGACAGTTGCAGGGTCCCAAGATCATGGGATCCCCTTTTGCTACCTCCTGAACAAGCCAAGTCAGCGGGGAAGCCAGGTTCACTTCTCAACAACTGCAGTGATTCGCTTAACAATCATGGCAAGAAAGGTTGTAAAATGGGGCAAAATTTGCTTAAAGTGTCTCACTTAGCAACGGAAACTTTGGGCCCAATTTTGGTTGTAATTTAAGGACTACCTGTATTCACATTTTCTCACTTGGCCTTGAGTGTCATGCGAAGGACCATAGTCCAAGAACAGAACAGGACTAGTCTGTGACTTGCAACTACTTGAAGTTAAAGCAATGCTGGAAAATAAGTGACTTATGATCATCCTCCCACTTACAACTGTCACAGCGTTGCCATGTTCACACGATCAAAATTCGGGTGCTTGGCAACCAGCATGTATCTACAACGGTTGCAGCATCCTGAGCTCATGTGATCACCATTTGCAACTTCCCCAGGGGGCTTCCAACAAGTAAAGACCATGGGGTAAGCTGGATTCGCATAACGGCCACTGCAGATTTGCTTAACTGCAGTGGTTCACTTAACGACCGTGGCAAAAAAAATTATAAAATCAGGTAGGTTCACTTAACAACCATATCGCTTAGCGACCAAAGTTCCGGTCCCAATTGTGGTTGTAAGTCGAGGATTAACTATAGAGCTTAGACAAAATGTTTCGAAATAGTTCAATTAATTCAGCACATTTTGGCTGCTGAAAAACAAGCATGGGATGAGAACAGGATCTATTAAGATCTGAATTGAGTTGACCAGTTTGAGTCGAGCTGAGCAAAACTCATGCATTAAGGTAGCTCCAAAGAAGAACCAGGCGCTCAAGAGCAGAGCTTGTGAAATCCCAAATTTAATGGACCAGAAACTCTTGCTCTGAAGAAAAGGTCTCCAAATTTGGCCACTTTAAGACTTGAGGACTTCAACTCCCAGAATCCCCCAGTCAGAATGGCTGGCGGAGGAATTCTGGGAGTTGAAGCCCCCAAGTCTTAAGTTCTGCTCTAAAGTGACATGAGCTAAATCCAAGGTTATTTTCTAGCCATGGCTAGAATGTGAGGTATTGACAAACCATTCTGGAGGACAACAGAGGCCTTCTATGTCATGAGATGTTGCTCTGAATCTAAAACCAGGAAAATCTCTATAAAATGTTTTACGGATGGCGCTTGCCACCGGCAAGACTAGCAAAAATGTTCAACAACATGTCCGCCAAATGTTGGACATGTAACCAGATCCCAGGTACTTATTATCATATGTGGTAGATGTGTATGAAAGCAAGAAAATATTGGACGAAAACACACACGTGGTTGGAAAAGATGATTAAGCAGCATATAGATTTGAAACCAGAAATATTTTTGTTAGGAATAATACCAGAAAGCTATGATAAAGGGACTATATACTTAATCTTACATGTATTGACAGCAGCAAGAATTGTATTTGCACAAATTTGGAAAAATGAGAACACCCCATCAGATGAAAATATAATTGGACTGTGCAGAGATGGATACATTGACATTGAAAGTAAAAGATAAAGGAGACAGAGACATGGAATAGATTTTATGAGTAGTTAAGAGACAAGAGGTAGAAATTAGATGAAGGAAGAGTATTGCTATGTATAAGTTAAACATAAACATTGTTTATAACTATAAGTATGCTAATATAATCATTAGGATTATAAATAAGCTAACATAATTATAAATTTGATTAAAATCATTCTGTTGTACCACTACTATTGTTATTAGCATATGTGTTACTATTTCCATTCAGTTGTTTCCCCCTCTTTTCTTTTGTAAAATGGCATACACTGTATTCAAAATGTTTATATATACATTTTAAAAAGGCCTTGGGAATGAAGACAAGTACAGATAAGAAACATTGCCTTTTTCCCCCAATTAAAAGTATGAAATTGATTTGTTTATCGCTCTTGCCTCGTATCATGGAGAAATTCTAGGTCTTACTAAAAAGCAATTAGCTAGATATAATGTTAAGAAGCATTTATGTTGCGGCCATTTAGATTTAATTTTGTTTAATGGCATGGCTGGTATTGCTTTTTCTCATTGCTCCATTGTAATCTAGGACTTTATTAGGAAGGAAAAAAGTTTCCCTTTAACAGGAAAGGAGGAGAAAAGAAACGTGAATCTAAATTGTAGCCGGCTTCAGTAACTTTTAAAGCATTAATTTTAATTAGCTTTGCTCATATAAGAAATTATATTGACTTTACGTTTACTTTTACTGGTTTATCCTGCTGGATTAAAATTTTATTTTTATTTTGTATTCTTAGGGCAAATGCTTCAGACATACCATTGCAGTCATCCTAGGAAAAACAGATCTGCTTTTAAGACTTTTCTTGCCACAATCTCAGCTCAGTGGTCACTCTCTGTGCACTCAGTGAAACATACCAAGGATAGAGGACATTTTTATACTTAAATGTTAATACTGGCAGTCCATGACTTATAACAGTTTGAAGTTACAAAGGTGAAACGTGACACGACCATTTTTCATGACCGTTGTAACATCCCTACGTTCACTTGATCAAAATTCAGATGTTCGGCAACCGGTTCATATTTATGAACGTTGCAGCATCCCGGGATCAAAGCAGGAGATTGTGAGTTCAAGTCCTGCTTTAGACATGACAGCTAGATAGCTGACTTAGATCTGCTTTAGATCTGAAAGCTGGCTGGGTAACTTTGGGTCAGTCGCTCTCAGTCCAACCCACCTCACAGGGTTGTTGCTGTGGGGAAAATAGGAGAAGGAAGGTGTGTAGGATAGGTTCGCCACCTTGAGATATTTGTAAATATAAAAGTGTGATATAAATAAATAAAATGATTATTTTTTTAAAAAAAAAAAATCCAGCAGGCTGAACCCACCTGCCTGACTAGGAGAAACGAAAGAAGAGAATGTGGAAGCGAAGCGAGTGTGTTAAATGAATGGACGGTTGCAAATTCGGAAGAGAATATGCAGGTCATGGAGTGAGACAGAGCAGGAAAGAGTGGGAAAGGCTGCTTCCAAAATTAATAATTACGTGTCACACGCAGGAAAAAAAAAATGTGACAACATTTAATCAAGAGAAAGAGCTCCACCAGCCCGTTGACGTACAATCCATTCAGTGGGAAAACGCGCCGCACTCCTACATAATAAAAAATATCTGCTTGGAACAAGGAGGCAGCAATGGAGAAACATGGAAGATTTCACTCCTCAATTGAATTACACCCAAACAGAGAGCAGAGCCGGGGAGGAAAGTGACAGCTGCATAATAGATCATGTCAGCAGACTGCAGATTCATGCCAGGATCATCCACTCCGGCTGTGGCACGGGGGCAGAAGGGTCTCAAAGAAGGGGGCAAAGAGCTCAGCTCAGCTGGGGCATCGTCGGTCGGACTGGAGCCCGCTGAGCTACGACAAGGATGCGTGAAAAACAAAGAGGGTTTTGAAAAACTGGTCCAGCGCTTTCCGTGGGCAACAAACTTTGGATATAATGTGATGCTTGAACAATGGGAAAATACGTGGATGAAAGGTTTAAAATTCACACTAAACTGTAATTTAAAAGAAAAAAATTTATATGATGGTGTATCACTGGTGCTTAACACCGGATAAGTTATCTAGAAAGTATAAAGCTATTTTAAATGAATGTTGGAAATGTACAAGTAGAGAAAGGGCCTTTTTATCATTGGACGTGTGATAAAGCAAAGAAATTTTGGAGTAAGATTCATATTTGAATACAGAAAATGGTTAAAACGAAGATAAAGATGAAACCAGAAACTTTTCTTTTGGGTTTAATGGAAAAAAGATGGGGGGGGGGGGGGGGATTGGGAACTTTGATCTTATATATGTTGATGGTAGCAAGACCATCATAAAAAAGCGAACAAAAATGGAAGGACATTTCGATTCCCACCATGGACAAATGGCTACAGAAGCCGGTGGAGTTAGCAGAGACGGCTAAATCGACCGTTTTGATCAAAGAAAGAAAAATTACTGTTGTTTTTACTTGGAAACTGCTTCTGGACTTTGTGCTTGAGGTGGGGAGGGGAATGAAACTTTTGATTTTGGGTTTCACTGATTAGATTGATTTGTTGTTAGAGAAGTGGCTAGTTTATATTATTGTGGAAAAGTACAATGTTGCGGTTCGATGGTAATGCGTTATTCTACTGCAACAGATGGAGTCGGAAGTCAAAGCCTTTATTTTGTCTTTTCTCCCTCCCCTCCTCAACTTTTCTTTCCCCTTCTCCTCCCCACTGCGTCCTCCTACTGGCTTTTGTATTTTTGTATTTTTCTCTATGATCTAATAAAATGTTGTTAAGGTAATGAAGATTTAATAGCTGACCGGCTGCTATAAATGCCATGCAAAGAGGATGAGTCAGCAGAGTTTTGCCGCTTTAAGACTGAGGCTGGGCCAGCAAGGTTATTGCCACTTTAAGAAGCTGTCTATATAAAGGAGGCCATGTGAGGGGGTCTCTCTCGTTCTCTCTCTCTCCTCATGTTCTGTCTCCATTGTAGTTCTCTGTGTAGAGTTGAAGATTGCTTGCTTGCCTGGTATGTGCCTAACACGTGTATATATGTATATAGCAGTCTTGTATATAAACCACTGTTAAAAGACAAAGCCTTGTGTTCTGTGGATTGTCTCACAATAGTAGTCACGCTGCAAAAACTCTGACAATTTTTTTTAAAGAAAAAAAATCCGGTCCAGCGCTACACAGCTAACACAAGGCAGGTCTTTCGTCCACTTTTGAAGTGAGCCAGGAACGGTGACCTCAACATACTGTTGATCAAGGACTCTGAGAGAAGATCAAAGGGATCAAAAGAAGGGATCAAAAGAAGGGATCAAAAGAAGGGATCACTGACAGCCCAACTGACAGCTCGCCAGGCCGATGACTGGTTTCAAACAGGTTGTTTGTTCGCTGGGGTGCCCAACCCTGGCAACTTTTGTGGATTTCAACTCCTAGAATTCCCCAACCAGCTATGCTGGCTGGAGAATTCTGGGAGCAGAAGTCCACAAGTATACTGCAACCGTCATAAATATGAGTCACTTGCCAAGCGTCTGGATTTTGATCACATGACTACGGGGCTGCTGCAACAGCCCTAAGTGTGAAAGCTGGTCATAAGTCACTTTTTTCAGCAACGTTTAACTTGGAACAGTTACTAAACGAACAGCTGTAGGTCAAGGACTCTATGTAATGGCAACCGTTTGGCATACCGAGATATGAAATTAGGCTGATGTCAAAAGATTTGTGAGTTGGGAAAGAAGAGTGTTCTCTCCAAAGAAGAGCGGGGATTCGGAACATGGCGAAGGAGCCGAGGTCAACTCACCTCCTCCGTTCCGTCTCTCGGACCTCTCGCTCGCGTTGCCTCTGGCGTTCCCGCTCACGCTGCTCCTTGATTTTATCAAAAGACAGGATGTCTTGTTTCTCTTTGCTCTCCGACTTGCGGTCATGACTTTTGGTGCTCTGAAGCAAAGCAGAAAGAAGGTGGCAAGAGTAACAGATTAACAGAGTTGGAAGGGATCTTGTAGGTCATCTAGTCCAACTCCCCGCCCAAGCAGGAGACCCTAAACCATTTCTGACAAATGGCAGTTCAGTCTCTTCTTGAAAGGTTCCAGTGATGAAGCTCCCACAACTTCCGAAGGCAACTTCTGTTCCATGGGTTGATTGTTCTCACTGTCAGAAAGTTTCTCCTTGTTTCCAGGTTAAATCTCTCCTTGTTTGGTTTCCATCCATTAATTCCTTGTCTGGCCTTCGGGTGCTTTGGAAAATAGCTTGACCCCCTTCCTCCTCTCTGTGGCAGCCCCTCAAATATTGGAAGACTGCTATCCTGTCTCCCCTGGTCCTTCTCTTCTCTAGACTAGCCAGGCCCAGTTCCTGTAACCGTTCATGTTTTATCCTCCAGTCCCCTAATCATCCTGGTTGCTCTTCTCTGCACTTTTTCTAGAATCTCAACATCTTTTTTATATTGTGGTGACCCAAACTGGATGCAGTATTCTAGGTGTGGTCTTATGAAAGCTTTAAGGAGTAGCCGTGTAGTGTATGCATTTTTACTCTTGGGGTCTTCAACTACCAAGCACTGCAAGTTCAAGAGTGATGGGAGGCAGTGAGGAGTTGGATCCCCAAGTGGGAGGGAGGGTGTCCCAGAGGAGAAAGACGCAACTCCATCCAGATGTTATGTGTGAGAGAAAGAGAGTAAAGACAGCCTCTCCCTAGTAGTTCTCAGCGTATATTGTAGATCAGTGGGGGGCCAACCTTGGCAACTTTAAGACTTGTAGACTAGCTAGGGAATTCTGGAAGTTGGAGTCCACAAATCTTAAAGCTTGGACACCCTTCTTTGTAGATGCAGAGTAGAGTCTTCAGTCTGTCAAGATCTTGCCCATTGGTGTGGAACAATAAAGAATTAACAATAAAGAAGAATTACCACGTGCCATTCTTTGTTTGAGGCCTGACACTCATTCCCTTTCTACATTTACAGAAGAGCAACCAACTGCCCCAATTCTATGGGGGTAAAAAGTCCATGTTTGGTACTCCCATAATTCATGAAGGCAGAAAACACAGGGTTCATGAGTGCTCCCTGGCCTTCTGCTGGCCTTCCTGCTCAAAATGAGAAGCCCGCTTTAGATGGGGTGACCTTCACATTTTGGTGGGCTCCTGTAATCTGAAGCCAAGAACACCAGTCCTGGAATTATGGCCTGTCCCACCTCTCTGGCAGAAGGGGTATGGTCTGGATCCCATCCACCAAGGAATTGCAGCTGGTAGAGTCCAGGCAAAGGGCCTTTTCTGCTATGGCTCCCACCCTCTGGAACAGGGGTTCCCAACCTGGGTTGCTCGCACCCCCTGGGGGTGTGAGACGATATTCCAGGGGGTGCGAGAAAAGTCCAGGTAAATAATAGGATATTGGCTATATGTTGGCATTTTTATTCCAGGGGGTGCGAGGTTCAAGTGAAATTTTATTCCAGGGGGTGCGAGGTTCGAGTGAAATTTCTTTAGGGGTGCGGGGCGAAAAAAAAGTGGGGAACCACCGCTCTGGAATATTGTGCCCCCCCCCCCCCCCCCCGACATGAGATTCACACACACACCCGACCATCTGAAAGAGCCTTAAAACCTTTTTGACAACTAGCCTGGGGCCCTTATGGGGACATTTTGAAGGTGGTTAGTAGCCTAGTGCAATATCTCACCTCCAATGCATCTATGCACTAGTTCTTTTTATCCATTTTAATATTAATTGTAATGTTCTGCATGTCTGTCTGTCTGTCTGTCTGTCTGTCTGTCTATTAAAGGTGAATATTTGTAGCTCAGGGTTGGCATGCAGGTTCCTTGGTGCTCTCTGAGCTTGCTTGTTTTCTTGCAGACATTTCATGACCCAAACTAGATAATGATCCAACTAGGCAACACCATCGGTGCCTGAAAAGAGCAAATCCCATGCTCCCTTTTAACATTGATGAAGTTACCTAGTTTGGGTAATGAAACGTCTACAAGAAAACAACCAAGCTCAGAGAGTACAAGGACCATGTATTTATCTGTCCATCCGTCCGTCCGTCCATCCATCCATCCATCCATCATCTGCCTGCCTGCCTCTCCATCCATCCATCCACCCATCCATCTATTCATCCATCTACCTATCTATCTGATTCCTATAGCTGCCTATCTCAGCAAATGACTCTGGGTGGCTCCCAATTCAAAAACATATATTAGCTTTTAATGTCTGACATTTTAATCTTTATAATTGTTTTATTCTATCTATCTATTTACTTACTTACTTACTAAACTTATATGCCGCCCATCTTGCCTAAGGTTGACTCAAGGCAGCTTACAATCAATAAGCATGCTAAAACATTATAGTAATATTAATGCCAACGTTGACATTTAAAATTAAACAAGATGGCAAAAAAGGGAGGGAGATGCAGGTGGGAGGTTTATCTTAATTACGACACTGTAAGTCATCCAGAGTCACTTGGTAGAGACAGACAGGTGACATACAAATTTAATAAGTAAATAAATATATTATCATTCCACCAGTTTTGGTGGAAATCTATTTCCCTGCTCCAACTTAAAAAGCAGAATTATAATAAACGAGGCTTGAAAAGTTAATCTCTGGACCCAACTTTCATCAGCTAGGAAGGCTGAAATAATGGACGCAGTCTTCACCCTTCACATCTCGCCTTGTTTCTCAGACCAGAAGTAAAACCAAAGACTTACTCTCTCTTTGGAGGTGGATGCGGTTTTCACGCTAACCACTGGCTCCCCTTTAGATTTATCCATAACAACTGTGCGCTCAATTCCTCGGCTTCCTAGAATGACACAAAATGACACCATAGGCCAGTGTTTTTGTCGGCTTTTCAGATGACAATGTGACCATTTCAGCTTCCAGAATTCACACATTTGTGGACTTCCCTGCCTGGGGAATTCTGGGAACTGAAGGCCAGGTATTTTGAAGTTGCCGAGCTTGCGAAATACTACCCAAGGAGACGCTTTGTTCTCCAGAAGTGTCCATTGGGCAGATAAAAGATTTCAAATGCGAAAGAACACATTAGAATAGCAGAGTTGGAAAGGAACTTGGAGGTCTTCTAGTCCAACCCCCTGCTTAGGCAGGAAACCCTATACCATTTCAGACAAATGGCTGTCCAATCTCTTCTTAAAAACCTCCAGTGTTGGGAGTGTACACAACTTCTGAAGTCAAGCCGTTCCACTGATTAATTGTTCTGTCAGGAAATTTCTCCTTAGTCTAGGTTGCTTCTCTCCTTGATTGGTTTCTATCCATTGCTTCTTGTCCTGTCCTCGGGGGCTTTTTGGGAGAATAGCTTGACTCCCTTTTCTTTGTGGCAGCCCCTCAAATACTGGAAGACTGTTCTCATGTCACAACTGGTTCTGCTATCATGACACACCTTTTCATTAAACTAGACCAGAGGTCTCCAAACTTGGCAACTTTTAAGACTTGTGGACTTTAACTCCCAGAATTCTCCAG